CAAGTGTCTATTTCAACCACAACAATAAACCTATTTCAACCAAAACAAATGTTTTCTTTTCAAAGCAAGTAGGTGGATGTTTAAGAAAAAAAATATATAAATTATGTAATTAAAATTTGATTTAGAAAATGTTAGCTGGATACCATAGTCCATTAAATGTTTAATCCCCTTTCCCAGTTTATAGGAGATGGTCCTTTTCCTGGTGTGATTGATATGTTTGGTGATGGAAGGTTAAATGATCTTGAGCGAGTCTCCTGGCTTGTCGAGGTTTTACTACTCTGGCTTTGCCATTTTTTGGCTATGAAGATCTACTACCAATCATGAAGGACTTAAATTTAGATTACTTTGAGGAGGCAGCTAAATTTGTGTAAAATCACCCAAAGGTAAGAGGAATGCTAAAGAGAAATGTGTTTAAAATGAAATCATTAGGGCTGGGAGAGAGTGAATAAAGTGGTGCTAATGTGTTGGAAAATATCTATAACTATTTGAGTGCATTAACGAATGAATGAGTAAGCTATCTGATAAATACATACAATACTTTTCTTTATATTGAGGGCTTTGTGACCCCATTAACAATCATACTTTTTTTTTTCTTGCTCTTTCTTCTTGTTTGTCTTCTTTTTGTTCAGTCTTCAGGTCAAAGGTCCAAACATTGGCGTGATTGGCTCTGGCAAAAGGGCAGAGTTGGCAATTTCCATGGCTAGCTTCCTCCCAAACTTAGTTGCAGTTGTAAGCATCAATGGCTGCATCTCAGCTTACATATGGTAGATTAATCCTGCCAGGACTGCTTTTTAACCTAAACTAAATATCTGCTACTGATTCAAGAGTATATGATGTTAAAGAAGCACTCGAGGACCCCTGGGATCCAACTTATCAAGATAGATGTAGCCCCCTAGAAAAAGCCACTGCTCATTTTCTTTTTATTGTTGGAAAAGATGACAGGCATTGGAAGAGCCCTGTTTATGCTAACATAGCTGGGAAGCACCTCACAGAACATGGGTAGATAAATTTCACTCTTTTAAGCTATCCTAATACTGGCCACAGACTAGATCCTCCTTACAGCCTTTTTTCTCTGTAGCCCTGGATACAGTATTGGGGGTGCCTGCTTTGGGAGGTGGGCAGCTCAAAGCTCATGTTGCTGCTGAGACTGAGTCTTGGAAGAAGATCCTGGAGATTTTGCATTTGCGTCTAGGGTAAAGGCTTACAGACTAGAGAGTTAAATTTAGAATATGCTCAGAAAAAATCAGGGGACAGATTGAATATTTTTGACAAATGACGACTGAGATCTAGACTCCCTCATGGCATCTGCAAGCTTTTAAAGAAGTAAAAATACTCGCTTCAAGTTCATGAGAGCCTGTAGCTTTGGTATTATTCATGTCTCTCATGTTTGGTTTGTTTGAACTTGAATTCAAGGTAACTGCTAAGTGAAAACCAATTTTCAATCTACCATTTACTCACTATTCACACCTACCCTCCCTGTCGCCCTCTGTACTTTCAAAGATTTAAAAAAATTGGTAAATAATAATTAGTTTGCTATACCTGTCTCAGAGTTTTAAAAACTATTTTGAACAAGGTGAATACATGAATATAGGCCCCTGGTTTTATGATGAGGAACAATTGGGCTATGATAATTTGCTCCTAATAGCCGGAGGCTGGAATAAATTCTAACAAGATGACTTGGAGGCTAACTGGTGTAGACTGAAGCCATAGAATCCTTTCTACTGTTAATCAGATTTTGATTTTTTTTCTAGTTGCCAACTGTTCTAGGATCTTTAAAAAAAGTTAGAAATCCTAAGATACTGCTTTAAAAATGGCAACCAATTACTGAGAAATACTCTTATTTTTTATAGTTTCCTTACCTCTGTATTTGTACTTTAAAAATCTTTTCTTTATACTTTGTTTCAAAAATATATTTAAAAATAGGCAAATTCCAAGTTCTAGTCCCATGTAGACAGTGTAATTAACTGAAAGACAGATCATCCCTTCTACCCTTCTACCACCCCTACCAAAAATTTAATTACAATTTGTAGGGTGAGACTGAACTTATTAAAATAATTTTAGCTGAAGTTCTGAGTTTTGATTCTAAACTTTAAAAATATGTGTGGAATTAGATGTTTATATAATGGTATATAAAACGTATTTAGTCATCAAAGTTTACTACTGCATGACAAGGAGGAAGTAGAAGTAATGTTCTGAGTGAGCATGAAGATAGAACTATTTATTAACGATATTTCATCATTAATATCAATTTTTTATGGTGTAATCCAAAGTTGAGTAAAAGGAATGCTCTGCTGAATTGAGATATTTTTAAGCATTAGATTCCCATTATAGCCACATCAACAAAAGTGGTAAAGATTTTGGCGGATAAGGAAGAATTTTGGTTCAGAGAGGTGCGGAGGTGTGGAGATCTGAAAAAATACTACAAGAACAAAAGTTGGGTATATTATGAATATACATTTTTATTTTCTTCAATAACTTGACCTTTTCCAAGTTTTATAAATGTGATTAAATTACCTTCTCAAAATAAAATTTATTTCTTATTACAAAATTTAAAACATCCACATTATAGAACAATCAAAAAATAGACAGGCCAAGTGAACATTGTATTAGTCTGCTCAGGTTACCATAACAAAATACCACAGACTGGGTAGCTTAAACAACAGAAATTTATTTTCTCAAATTTATTTTCTCACGGTTCTGGGGCTTAGAAGTCCATGATCAAGGTGCCAACAGGGTTGGTTTTGGGCGAGGCCTCTCTTCTTGGCTTGCAGATGACCATCTTCTCACTGTGTCTTCACATGGCCTTTCCTCTGTGCAAACGACTCAAGGTACCTGTTCATCTTCTTCTAAGGGCACCAGTCCTGTTGGATTAGGGCACTACTCTTATGACCTTGTTTAACTGCAATTACCTGTGTAAAGGCTCCGTCTCCAAATACAGCCATATTGGTGGTTAGGGCTTCAACATATGAATGTTAAAGGGACAGAGTTCAGTCTGTAACAAACGCTAAACCTTCATTATATTCTTTTAGTTTTCTTTTGTATATATGTGTGCACTATGTATAATTTATTTTCCCTCTTTAATTCCCCCCTCCTTCCACCCCAACCTATGGATGTTGCCGTTTCCCACTTAAAAACTGGATCTCTGAAGGCGGGGCATCTCCTCCGAACCCAGGGCCTGGTGCACCAGCGGGCTAGGAGGGCCAGGCCCACAGTCCATGGCTCCACCTAGGGTGTGAACCCAGGACCTTCTGCGTGTAAAGCATATGTGCTAACCACTACACTATAGAGCCACCACCAACACTATATGTAATTTTTAAGAGGATCACACCATTTTGGGGGGTAACTTGCATTTTAAATTAACACATCATGATTATCTTTGCATGTGAATAGTTGCATTGCTGCAGGAAGCGACACCCGATGGAGGAAATTGGACGCTCAAACAACTTTGTTAGAGGAAGGAGAATTTACTGGCCAGCGGAGTGTGTGGGGTTAATAACACCAAGCACAAACTCGCTTCAGTTAGATTTATTACAGTTTATATACCTCTGCAGTGTCCATGCAAGGGGCGCGTGATTCCTTTGAGTCTTCATGTGTGCCTCACGACTCAGGATGGGGACGGGGAGCTTCAGATGGGGAGCTGCAATGGGGGAGAATTTCCAGACCACTGGTCTCACAGGTTGTCTTGTAGAATCCGCGACCTTGGCATTATCAGCACTGTTATAGGATTCTTGAACAGAGAGACAGGATACTGAAGCTATAAGCAGGAAGCAGCACTTATTAATGCCAGCACCTGCTCAGCCAATTCCTATCCAAAAGCTGAGCCCCAATTGTAACATAACAGGCAGTTTTATACAGTCTTACTGTTCCTACACAGCTACAGAGATAAGGAAGAACATTAGTTGGTTGGAAAGCCATGAATCAACAGATTTAAGCTGGAGAGTCCTTGAGCTGGGGGAGGAAGCTATGGGAAAACATGTTAGCTAGTCCTGGAGGTGGGGAGAGGACAGTTAGGAATGGACTTTAACTGGCTGAGTAGGTCATTTCTGCAAGCCCTTTGCTTTGCATTTTTCAAATGCCTTCTCTCTTAGCATTTCAGCAACATTTTTAATGGTAGTATATTCTTTCATTGTTTAGCTGTTCAATAATACCAATTCTTTTTTGTTGACATTTGGATTTCTCTCTTCTTGCTATTAAAACTTCGAACATATATCTCTGTACACTTGTGTGATTATTTCTTCAAGATGAAGTCCTAGAAGTGGAACTGCTGGGTCACAGAGGTGCAAAGTTTTTAAAGCATTTAATACATATTGCCAACTGTCCTCCCATAAAGGCTATCAGTTATAGACAGCGTATACATGTGTTCTATTTCTCCTTATCCCTAGCACCTGAATATATATAAAATGAGGATGTTATTTTCAATTAATGAAGTTTTCGTACTTCATTATCATATCTATATCTATATCTATATCTATATCTATATCTCTCTCTATATATTTACATGTTTTGGCTAATTTGAAAGTTGGGGGTAAAAAGACATCTCCATTATGTGAAACCTATTTTCTGTTTTCAGCTGCCTCTGGCTCCCTGGAGGGGCTTGGGACAGGTAACTGAAGAAAGTCGGCCTAATTTAGCTCCGGGCATCTAGAGAAGAGGCGGAAGGGCAATCTGCAGGGAAACAATTTTACAAATTCTTTTATGGGAAAGGAGATTGTAATAGGGAAGTTTTACAGTTTTAAACTTTCGGCAGGACGTCATTCCAGATTAGCTGAAATTGCTTTCGGTAAGGTAAAGCACATCTGACCACTCTGCGCGGTTACGATCTCAAATCCTGAGCGCCACGCTGCAGCCCCTGGGGAGCGAATGGCAGCGGAGCAGGAGGACCCCAGCGGCCGCCAAGCAGTCCCACAATGCCCCGCTCGCCCCACCTTGAGGGCGGAGAAAAAGGACCGCTCCTGGGATAGGGATCCGCGAACGCCAAGAAGTGCGCACGCGCACTGACCCCCGCGGGCCCTAGCAACCAGAGCAGTGACAGTAGCAACCGCCAGAATGGTGAGTACCTTCCAGGCCTCGTAGCCAAAGCTGAGAAGAGATTAGAAATGGAAAGGGTGACTGTGGAGTGTTTAGGGCTGGAAGGGCGGAGGGTGTCCTCGGACAGCGGAAGGGAGCGGGTAGCGGATGCTGACCCCGTGGAGTCAGAGGCCTGGGTGAAAGAGAAGCCCTGGCACCGGGTGGTCAGGGGTGAGGGCGGCCTGGGGAGGATCAGAGGTTGGCTTAATGTTGAGGGATTTTGGCAAAGAAAGGAGAGGTGGGCAAAGAGCAGGAAATTCTAGAAAATGCAGATTTGAGTGGGAAAGGTGATGGAAGGGAGAGTGTGAATAAGGATATCTCTTTACGTAGAAGTAATTACCCCCGCTGGCGAGGTGGAGGGGGGAGCTGTTTATGAGGGGTGTGTGTGTAACACCGACTGCAGCAGTATTCGAAACCTGTGATGTGCCCAGGGTGGCCTCTGGATGACTGTGACTGCAGTTATTAGGTACCATTGTAAAACCCACTCTGATAGAATGTATTAGGGTAATGTTTCTCAAATTTCAGTATGCCATAAGTATGATTTTAGTTGGCTTTAGTACTATGAACTTGTTGGAATGCAAATTATGAAGTTTTAATATCATCCAGAGGGCTCAGGAATGTGGATTTTGACAATGCACCCCGTTATTCTAAAATTGGAGAGCACCCCACCACACTGAGAAGTGCAGCCTTTGCTTTTAAATCTGTAAGCGGTCTATCCAATCAAAGACCTTTGTGAAGTAATGATTTTCAATAGTGAAGTACCTATTGATGCTCCTCAACTGCTGCTTAAAATGCGCACTGTTTTGCTTACATACTTGGCAGCTACAACTAGAAGTTTGAAAAGGGATGTTGTTGGTTAGTTACAGACCCAGCCACAGTTATTTATCAAAGTATATGATTGTCCTGCCGGATGGAGATGTTTATGAAGAATAGTTATAAGTAGTTGTCTTCCTTTCGTGATTCCAGTGCTGCTTAAATGGGCAGAGACTGAGCCCAAGAAATTGAAGTGATGAAGAAGTCATGCCCACGCTCAACCAAAAGTAGTTTTTCACCTGCTTTCCATACTTTATTCCAAGTCATTTAGCCAGTACCACTGCCAAGTTAAGTAAAAAGTTCTGGAACCTAGGTTTATATTCAAGTGAATAAATAATCAGGTCTAAATAATTCTGAAAGCATTAACCATGAGAATTATTGAAAATCTTCAAATAGAGAATCAGTACCAGTAATTAGATGAAGCTAGCTGAGGCTGCAAACTGTTAGTTCTGGGACCCCCCAGAAATACAGGCCCACATAGTTTTTTAATTCTAAAAAATTAAATTTTAGTGTCTTAAAAGTGGTCCTGTTTTACATCAAAACCTAGATTTCTGGCTTCTCTGAAAAATCAGAAATAATCTATTTCAGATACATTTTTCCCCACATTTTCGTATTACTGAAATATGAAGGTGCCATATAATTGGCAGCATCTTTTCTTTCTTAATGGTACATAAAATGAGGATGTTATTTTCAATTAATGAAGTTTTCATATTTGAAGAAATGTGATATTAGGGTAGTTCTTGTCCCAAGTCTCACCTACCAGTAGTTTTCTAGAGCCAAATAAAAGCTCTCTATATGGGCAGCTTTACCTATTAATGATGTCCAATGGTTCTTTAGGCCTTTCAGTTTTAGATTCCTGCTATCTACAGGGAACTAGTGACCTTATAAACCAATTTCTAGACACCTAGATTGCTTCCAACATGGAAGTGTTCTCATGTGTCTTTTTATGAACCCACACAAGGATTTTTCTGGAAAAGTAAACCCAGGAGTGGCATTGCAGAGTCACAGGGTCTATGCATACTTAATTTATCTTAATTTAATTTAGGCACTGTAACTTTCTAACTCTTGCCAATCTGAGGATGTATTTTAGTATCCCATTGTTTTACTCTGCAGTTCTCTGATTTTCAGAGTCCAGAATGTTCACCATATTCCATGGAACCTCCATTGCGTTTCTCTGATTTTCAGTGAGTTTGAATACTTGATAGTATTCTTGTTAGTCATCTCGATTTTAGTTTTTGTGAATTTTCTATTCATGTTTTTATTTTTGTCAATATTAGTCTTTTATTGGTTTTATATGGAAAATATCTTCTCCCAGTTTTTGTTTACTTTGTCAACAATGTTCTTCACTTGTTGAACTCCAGTTCGAATATTTGTTAGTTTATCCTATTGTATTTTCTACATAGATGATCATTTGCACAGTGTTTTTATTTCCTCCTTTTAATCATGCCAATTTGTATTTCTCCTTATTATCACATTGATAAAGATCTCTTGTATCATGTTAAATAATAGTAATGATAGTAGACATCTTAATGTGTTTGGGATCTTAGAATACTTTTAACATTACCTTTCCAGTTTGGCTCACCTTGATCACCTTATTTAAAATAAACATCCTCCATACACATATTTATGTATCCTGATACCTTTTACCAAACTCAGCATTTTCTTTTCTTTAGTAATTGTATAATTTATTTATTTTTAAATTATATTACTTACCATCCATCTCTTGCCAATAGATGTAAGTTCCATGATGGCAGAGATCTTTGTTTTGTTCATTGGTATATCTTAAGCATGTAGATACATGTTCGTACATAAGTAGATACTCAATGAATATTTGCTGAAATGAATAAATTTATCCGTTAAGTATGGTTTTTGTTATAGCTTTTTGGTATGTAGCTTTTATCAAGTAAGAATTTCTCTTTAACTCTTAGTTAAAAGCTTTTAATATCAAATGTAGAACTTTATCAAGTGCTTTTTCAGCATTTATTGAAATAAATGTGATTCCCCCCTTTAATCCATTAATAAACGATTTACATTTATAGATTTTTTTGTTAAACAATCCTTATGCTCTTGGGATAAGCCGTTTTTGATTGTGATCATTATGACCATTGGCTTTGGAGATCTAATACTATATTGAGACTTTTCAAATCTGTGTTGAGAAGTAAAGAGACCTCCTTATCTGGTTATGACATCAAGTTATTCTAGCCTCAAAATAAGTTGGTGGCTTTCCCTCTTTTTCTGGTTTCTGAAACAACTTGTATAACAGAGTATCTGTTCCTTGAAAGCTCGGTAGAACTCACTTGTAAAATTATCTCGGCTTGGAGCTTTACGAGGGGAGGAGGAAGGTAGATCTCATTGATTATCTTTTTAATGTTTTAAATAGTTATTGGTCTATTCAAATTTTCTGATTCCTGTGACAGTTTTGGCACTTTTCTCTTTTTTTTTTTCTAGAAATGCATGCTTTGTCTAGGTTTTCAAACTTATTACCATATATTTGCTTATAATGTTTTATTTTTAAAATCTGTTATCTGTTATTTTTCCTTATTCAGTCTATATTTTTAATTTGTATATCTCTCTTTTTTGCTCAATCAGGCTTGCCAGAGATTTAAGAACTAACTTTTAGTTTTATTAATCTCTTTTCCCCTATATTCTTTTTCTCAGTGACTTCTTCCTTTGTATTTCCTTCTGCCTTCTTTGGATTTGCAATTATGTACTTTTTCAAATATTTTGAATGCTTAGCTTATTTGTTTTCTATCTCTTTTTTTCTCTTCTGAGGAAATAAATGTAGCTATAAATTTCCTTTTAAGGGTTATACATATTTCTCAAATTTTGACATTTTTGTCTTTTATTTTATTATTTTACTTTAATTTATAGTTTTCTTTTAACCCAAGGGTTATTTATTAGTATGTCTTTACTTTCTAGACATAATGATATAGACCTTTAAAAATTTCCTTTTGTTTTTTTGGGGGGGGTTCTCTCTTTTCTTTTTAATAAACTCTAACAATAATAATCCAAAGGATGTCTTCCTTTGCTCATCTTTAAAGTTTTATATATCATAATAAATTGAATCTAAGATACTATTAATTATAAGATGCAACGTTATTTTATGTTCTTCTAAGAAAGAAAAATAAGAAGTTGGAATTAAACTATGACAGTTTCCTATCACTTAGAATTTTTATTTTGTACTTATTGACAGTTTTTAAAAATGTATTTAGGCACATAGACTTTTATTATATGTACTCCTTTGCAAACATAAAACGGAATATATGTATATGAAATCAAATGGTTAATGTTTTTCTAAAACTTTACCACTGCCACCTGGCCACTCCAACTGTAAATTGTTCCTGGTTGCATTCAAATTTCAATAATGTTAAAATGTAAAAGAATATGTAGATCTTAAAATCAATGAAACAAGATATATTTTAATATCAAGTGTTGAAAGCTATATAGTTTTTGTAATCCAAGTAGGAGTGACGTATGTGAGCATTACATCATGCTTTCCTTAATTTTTCTGAGAGGTATTTAAATAAATCATTCTGATTTCAGGAAATTAAAACACACTCTTTTCATATAAGGTCTCAAAGAAAGTATTAACCTTTTTAATGGTAGATATAAAGACTAATAATTATTGCATGAGAATTGAATCAACATATTAAACCAGTAAGACAGCCTTGTTTTTCTTTCTCTTTTAAAGGCAAAAGCAACAACAATCAAAGAAGCCTTAGCCAGATGGGTGAGTATATGAGTTTTTACTTCTTTTAGAAACCATACAAGGAGAAATTTTGGATAGTTATTTAAAACTGACCATTCAATACAAGGGATCTTCGTGGTATTGGAACTGTTTAGCTATCTTAACTGTCTAGGTGGAACCTACACAGATGATAAAGTCGTATTGAACTTAATAGACACACACAAACACACTCATATGTACAAATGCTTACAGGTAAAATTGGGAAAATCTGATTTAAATCGGTGGATTGTATCAATATTAATATCCTGGTGGTGATATTATACTATAGTTTTAAAAATGTTACCATTGCAGAAAACTGGGCAAAATGTACAGGGTATCTCTATGATGTTTTATAACTGCAGGTGGATCTTCAAATGCCTCAATAAAAATTTCAATTAAAAAAATCTGACCACTGGAAAATTTAAAATTTAAATAGAAAGGCTGATTCATTTATTGCTGTAGGATGACTGGAATCTCTGTGTTACAGTACATTTTATTTTTCAACTTTATCATCATTACACTTTGTCATTTTCAAGTGATAGATTGGTATGTGTTGTGGATTATCTAGGCTTTAGACAGATGATGGTTTTAGCCTCTTGGAAGTTAGAACAGATATCCAATGTGGACAAACAAAAATTACACATAGACAACCGAAAAGACCTCAAATACAAATACTAAAGTGATGCTCACCATCACTGATCATCAAGGAAATGCAGATGGAAACCATAATGAGATATCACCTCATATCTATGAAAATGGCTATGATCAAAAAGACAAAAGGTAAGTGTTGGCGAGGATGTGGAAAAAAGGAACCCTGTGTACTGTTGGTGGGAATGTAAATTCGTATAACCACTATGAAAAATAGTATGGAGGTTCCTCAAAAAATTTAAAATAGAACTACCATATGATCTAGCAGTCCCACTTGTAGATATATATGTGAAGAAAATTAGTTCACTATCTTGAAGAGCTATCTGTACCCCCATGTTCACTGCAGCATTATCCACAAGAGCCAAGACCTGGAAACAATCTAAATATCTATCTATGGAATGTTATTCAGCCATAAAAAAGGAAATTCTGCCATTTGTGGCAAATGGATGAACTTTGAGAGCATCATCCTAAGTGAAATAACTCAGAGAAAGATAAATATTGTATGATCTCACTTACATGTAGAATCTAAAAGAGCCAAACTCATAGAAACAGAGTAGAATGGTGTTTGTCAGGGGTTGAGGAGTGGGGAAAATGGGGCGATGTTGGTCAAAGGGTACAAACCTTCAATTATAAGGTATATAAATTCTGGGGATTTAATGTACAACATGATGACTATAGTTAATAATACTGTAATATATTTGCAAGTTGCTAAGAGATCTTAAATGTTAGCACAAACAAATAATTGTGTGAGGTGATGGATGTGTTAATTAACCTTATTGTGATAATTATTTTACAATATATACATGTATCAAACCATCAGTCACACACCTTAAACTTATACAAAGTTATAATGTTAGTTATATCTCAATAAAGCTGAAAGAATACTAAAGTATATAGTAATATTAGAAGGGAAACTGCATTGTAAAAATATGCATTAAATATAAACCAATATTTTAATAAACATTCTATAAAGTTTGAACAGTTAATTCAGCATTATAGATCAAATTTCCATAGAGTTTATAGATAACTCCTTAATTTCCATGCCCAGTGATAAGTTATTTGTCTATGTCATCAATAGCTTTTTGCATACTATTATATCTTTTGCTTTTGTAACTGGGATTTGAATAAAAAGTCTTTCAGGAGACTTGGTATCTAGGGAAAATAGACGAAGAAGATAAGATAATGAAATATTTGAATTCTTGTTTTAGTGCTTATAAACTTTGTACTCTAATTGCATTTAAAAAACATTTCTGTTTGATTGCTAGAAAATGTGTTTTGTTAAAGAAAAAAAAGAATAGAATAGGCTTAGATTTTCCTTGAATTGGATTTTCGAACTTCATTTGATTTACTTATAACAACAAATGATTGACTTGTTTCTTTGTTTGTCTTTGTAATCTATTTCTAGATTTCAATGTGACCATAAATCTTTGACTTTAAGATTATTTGAAGACATCAAGCTCACTCACTGATTATGAGTTCATCATTTATTGAAAATCTGCTAGGTGTCAGTTTCCCCTCCTCTAACCTACAAATTTATGGCACAAAATAACTAATGAGCGGATGCGTATTAGATCTCTTTCTTTCAATTGATTGTATATTTTTTATTATTGATGTTACGATTTGATTTTTTAAAAGAAGCCTCTTTTGTGTCTTATATTACACTAGGTTATAGAAAACATAGGAAGGCAAAGGAAATGGTCAAGCTTTAGGAGCTCCCTGTTTTGTTGGCAAGGTAGAACTAACTCTAGGTATTGTGGTACTTAGAAAATATTATTAGGTATCGTATGCTAGTAATTAAATTTTAAATTGCATACTTAGTACCAAAATTAAACTCTAAGGTAGAATTTAGAAGTAAATTATTATAGAACAAATAGTCTTTACCTCAGCTGTGGTGCAAAGAGAATATCTTCAAAAATTCTTGGCATTTTGGGGTTCTAGCTCAGACTGAACTGTATATGGAAAAAGATAGATGAGACAATAAAGAAAACAGTTGATTATACAGTTCTGAATCTGATATTTAAGGAAAGGTTGTTTTAGGGACAAGAATTCTTCCCAAGAAATTGTTTTTGTTATTGCGTTTTGTTTTTGTTTATTGATTGATAGATGTTTAAGGGATTTTATTTTATTTTTTAACAGGCTCAATTCACTTTATTTTTCTTGTATAAAATTCTGTGGTGGCCACAGCTGGATCCCGGGTCCTCTGCACAGAAATTCTGGTGTGGGTCATTACGAGATGGTCAGTGAATTCCTGCGAGGGAGACTTGGCAAACACGGTCTCCTTCCAGGGGTCAGGGGTGGGATAGCTGTAGGTCTTAAAGAAGGCATCAAACGTGGCTGTGGCAAAGTTGCCTAGGGTGGCAGTGCAGCCCCTGGCTGAGGTGTAGCCGTCCACGATACCAGCTTACCAACAGCATCTTGGGCACAGGGGCTGAGACAATGCCAGTGCCCCTGGGGACAGGGACGAGGCACATGGCACAGAGCCACAGTGGCCAGTCATCTTGCAAGGAATGATGTGGGGCTGCAGATCTTGTTCCCCCAGCTTCGCCTCACAGGGGCAATGGAGAGCTTAGCCAGGATGATGGCCCTATAGATGGCAGTGGCTACTTCCTTGGAACACTCAACACCCAAACAGACATGTCCATTGTAGTTCCCGATGGCGACAAATGCCTTGAACCGAGTCTTCTGGCCACTGTGGGTCTGCTTTTGCAACTGCACAATTTTCAAAACCTCATCCTTGAGAGATGCCCCCAAGAAAAGGTCAATGATCTCAGATTTCTTGATTGGCAGGGAGAAGAGATAGATTCTCCTCCAGGGGCTTGATCTTTATGTCCTTGACCAGGTGGCCCAGCTTGATGACTGGGATCTACTCCTTGTCCTTGGCCTTACCTCTGCGAGCTCCATAGCCATGGCCTCACCCTGGCCATGGCCTTGGCCACAACTTCTACTCTGGACGCCATTGCCAAATCCTCAATGCAAGCTGCTGCAGCCTTCCATCCCAGGGCCCCCTGGGCCTCCGGGGCTTCCCGCGATACCGGGTCATCCTCTATTTGGTGTTCTTTCAGAGAAGAAGCAAGGGATTTTAAATATTAAAGATATTCAAGTTATTTTATTTTCATCATTTTTCCCTTTAGTTAGGACCTAACGATGAATTATCTGAGTCAGCCATGTAGAAGCCTAGTTATCAGGGCCAGTAAGTAAATGTTTTCAGTAAGTGAACCATAAAGAATGCACAGAATTATTAACTTCTAATAATTGCTTTGAAAAGTCTTGGGAAATCTTGCTTTCTTTAGTTCCACATGACAATCAGGGATCATTTTCTTCCAAATCAATTTTTGTCACAGGAAGAGAAAACCAGTCAGAAGCCATCCGAAGCCAAAGAGATAAAGCTTTATGCCCAGATTCCCCCTATAGAGAAGATGGATGCATCCTTGTCCATGCTTGCTAATTGCGAGTAAGTTTTCCTGTCTTTATTCATCCTTCTAGTATTGTTGTTAAATTTCTCTTCTTTTTATAAATACACAAACTAGAAAAGTGTTTTCTGTGATCTTCACTTTTTTTTCCTTAATTAATTTCCCTTTGGCAATGAACAAACATAAAAGATTATTGGTTTATAAGATTTTAATAGTGTAATCCTGTGCAATACAATATATGTTTACAGTATAATTTTTATAATTTGCCAGGAAACTAGAAATTTCCTTGTTCTTGAAAGAAGTTAAATAATATAAAATTATTACTCTGTTATAAAATCTAGTATTTTCTCTTATAAAATTATCCACTAAAGTCAGTACTATACTTACTAGAGGCCTAAGAGATTGTTTTTAAAAAATTTTTTCAAATTATAAAAATATTGTAAAACATCTAGAAAATATAAAAAGCACAAAGAAGGGGATTTTATATCAACCAGATATAAAATTGCACCACCTTTTGACATCCATCGTTAGCATTTTGATAAAGAGCTTTCTAATTGGGACCAAGTTACACTTATTATTTTATAATCTTATTTTCCTATGACTTTTAAGTATCAGGTCTATATTAATTCCTGTTAACTATTTTCTAAATATTCTGCACACTTTTTAGCAGAGTTCTGTGGCAGTTTTCTCATGACACCTTGTAACCATGCTCTCAGGCTGCAATATCTCTTATCAAGGCTGTGGAATGTTATAGAAGCACTTGGGATTCTTTCTGATTTCTTCACCCTCTGTTTTTCTAAATGTGGTCCCCTGACTACCTACATAAGAATCTCCTTATGCAGGAGGTAAACCCCACTCCACATTTATGAAACAGACTATCTGCTGATGAAACCTAGGAGTCTGTATTTATACTGAGCAACTTGGGTGATTCTTAGACACATATTTGTGAACCTATGCATTAGACTAATTAATATGTCTTTGAAATTAAAGGGAAAGGCAAACATATTTAGTTATTGTGTGTAACCTGTCCTTTGTGATGAAAGCACAGAGAATTACGTACAAATCTACCTTAGATGTTTTTTTGGCTTCAAAAGCATGATTTCCAAGAACATTATTTCAAAGTGGTCAAATACCTTTTTATCATAAAGCATGATTTTTATCATAAAGCATTTCAAAGGGAAATATTTGAGAAGGGTTTTTACCCCATACCGAAGTACCATGGAAACTGCTTAGAAAGAAAACCTATTCTTATTTTACCTAACAGTCTCTTTGGGCAAGTTACCCAAACAACAATTAAAAAACTATCCCCCAACCATATTCTCAGATTTAAGAAACTCCATTTTTTACTAGTAATTCTTGCGAGAGGGGATTATTAGAAAATATGCAGATTTGACCAATAATTTACACGGAACAGTAATTGATTTTGCTGTTTCAAATAAATCAATGACTAATTCCCCTTTGCGTCAAATCAGAAAGGATGTGATCACGTGTGCTAGAGTCAAATTTTGGGAGTTTTAAGTTTGGCTCTGCCACTTTCTGGCTATGTAATATTAGGCAAATTGCTTAACACCTTTGTGCCTCAGTTTCCTCATTTGTAAAATATGGATAACAATAACACTTATTTCATAGGATTGTTGTGATGGTTAAAATAGATAATACGCGTAAAGTACTTAGAATACTGGGAACACATGAAGAATTTAATAAAATTAGCTTTTATTATTTTTTTGCATGAAATTTACTTAGTAAACATTTTGTCAAGAAAGGAGGACTACGAATGTGTAATTATGCTCCCTTTAAAAATTTGTTTTTATGTAATTAAAGTATGTATAGAAAAAATCTAGATAAATATATACTAACTATTAAAAGTATCTTTGGAGGAATGTCTGGGGTAGTTAGGATTACATATGACTTCTTACAATATACATTTCTGAATGATTTGTATGAGAAAATAAATATCTCTATAATTGCATATATATAGCTCTGCTTTTTACACAAAAAGGATCATATAAAATGTATTGTTCTGCTAGAAAGTATCTTTGGAGGAATGTCTGGGGTAGTTAGGATTACATATGACTTCTTACAATATACATTTCTGAATGATTTGTATGAGAAAATAAATATCTCTATAATTGCATATATATAGCTCTGCTTTTTACACAAAAAGGGTCATATAAAATGTATTGTTCTGCTAGATGGTTTTTACACTTAATTACATATCACGGACATCTTCCCAAGTTGGCATTTATAGCCTAATCTCATTTGTTTTAGTGGTAGCATAGTATCTTATTATTTGTTCCTCAGTTGATGGATGTTTATAGATTTTCCCCATTTTTTTTTGCTATTACTGTAATATAACCAATAATCTATATGTGTGTATGTATATATATGTATGTGTGTGTATATATATGTATATATGTATATATCTATAGATATATACATATATACACATATAGATATATACATATATACACATCTTTGGCATTTCTATTTATGTTTTAAGAAGATGTATTCCTAAAAATGAATTACTGAATCAAAGTATGTATGCATTAAAATATTTAAAAAATAACACCAAATTGCCCTCAAGAAGGTTTTTTTTAAATTTTCTACAATAAGTATATATTAACTTTTGTAATCAGAAAAAAAGTACGAAGATTTCAAAATGAAGGAATACATGCCATGTCTGAGGGGGAAAAAGGATTCATTGTCAAAAGGAAATATGACTTATTAAATATTATCTCCTTTGGATGCTTGAAAAATAATTTCTGATATACCATTTACATTTTTTTATATTAATTCAAGTTTTCCTTTGTTCTTTTAAAGGAAGCTTTCACTGTCTACAAACTGCATTGAAAAAATTGCCAACCTGAATGGCTTAAGTAAGTGATCCACGATAACAGATGGTTCTTAGATTTTCTAGTTATTAGAAATAATATTCCAGAGAAACTACATAATCCAGAAGCTGGCACCTGTTTTAACCACAATAATTGTCAGATAACAGAGAGAATACATAAACCATCTGTCTTAAGTTTGATTATCCAAAGAAAAGTGCAGATGCATGAGACTTGCATATTTTAAAGACATTTTAAAGCTTTTATAGAATTAGAATTGAGATATCTTAAATAAAAAATCAGATTTCTTATTATATATTTTTGGTCAGATTTGTGTTTCGTATTTATTATATTTAAAATTTAATTCCTCGCTATCCTTTTTTTTGTTCTTTGTTATTGACATACCTACCCAGTTGGCAAAGCCTCTGACTCCTTGAGTTAGTTTCCTATGACAGTTGAAACTTGGTGGCTTAAAACAACAGAAATTAATTCCCTCACAGTTCTGAAGGTCAGAAGTCCGAACTCAGTTTAATAGAGCCAAAATAAAGGTTTTGACAGAGCCATACACTCTCCAGAGGCTTAAGGGGAGAATCTGTTCTTTCTGCTTCTAGACTTTTATGGCTGCCACGTTCCTTTGCTGGTGATTACATCACCCCAATCTCTGCCTCTGTGGCCATATTGCCTTCTCTTTTTTTGTCTGTCAGTCTTTCGTTTTTGCTGGTATCTGTGATTGCAGTTGGGAAACACCTGGATAATTGAGGATTCTCTCCCTATCTTAAGATCCCTAACTTAATCACATCTACAAAGTACTTTTTTCCCATATAAGGTAACATTCATAGGTTCCAGGAATTAGGAGTATGCATCTTTTGGTGTTGCATAATTTAGCCTGTCATATCCCCGCTTTACTTCCCTCGAGCCCTACATCCAATTTCATCACTAAGTCCTATTTATTCTTTGCAAGAGCTCTCAAATAATTTGTTGCTTTTCCATTTTCAGGAGCTACAGTTTTATTAGGATCCTAATCATCTCTCCTTTAGATGGTATTTATCAAATGTTTTTGACTACTTTCTACAATAAGAAATACATTTAAATTTATGAATCAGCACATATATTCATATGAATACACATATCAAATTTACATATGAATTGGAATAAAGTAGGTTAAACAATATTTAATAGCATAGGTTCCAGTATATATTTTTTTAATTTTATTTTTTTAAATGTTGTCACAACCCACTAAATTGATTTCCCACAGTTTGAAAAACACTGTCTTAAGACTTTGTAATAGCCTCCTAATTGATCTCCTTGTCTCTTTTCTTTCTGCTCTTCAGTTAACCTGCAGCACTGATACCAGAGTTTTTTTTTCTAAAAATATTATTCTCATTATCATTTCTCCAGATCAGAGACCTTTAATGTCTCCCCTTTGCTTAGTAAAGACCAAATAACTTAATGTTGTATTCGGAGTCTTCAAAAGCTTGAACCACACCCAAACACATCATTCTTTTTTTAATGATTTTGTGCACTTGTTAACGCAGTGCTTTTCGTTGAGAACATCCCCTTCCTCTTGTAGGAAAATACTACAAGAAACAAAATTAAGATTAAGAATGCTGAATTTAAATGTTATTTCTCCCTTTAAGGACGTCTCTAATCTCCATCCCCCAATTACTCCTTCTGTGAGAGCATTTATAATAGTCTGTCTTGGGTTATAATAATTACCTACTTCATATAGCTATCATGAATAGTAAATCAGTTAGTGTATATAAAGGACTTAGAATAGTACCTGGTACATATAAATGCTCAAGAAATATTATTCATTTATTGAGGAGTATGTTCTGTCTACATAATGAGCTCCTTGGGGGCAAGCATCACATCTTATTATTATTTTTATCTTCCAAATCTCCATTTTCCTCAGTACCTTACTCAAAGTTGGCATTCAGAATTTATATAGTTCTGGGGAGGAAATGTTTACTATTAGAGCTGTACATAAGATGACTCAATTTATTCCAGTTTTTCATTGACTCATTAAACAATTTGAGATGTTTCAATTTACTTTTTGCTTTGTCTGTAATTGTAATAACTTGCTTACGTGAGACTAAACTGGCGACAGTATTTATCAATACAGATAATATACTTTTCGTAAAAGCATGAATATGACTAGTGAAAATGGATAGCCTTCTATATAGGGCTGGCAATGGGTTTTCACTCACATTTTAACTTTGGTTAACTGGTGGTGACTCGGGAAAATGTATTAAGAGTCCCAAAATTCAGTGAAAAAGAGTCTGTCTTGGGTTATAATAATTACCTACTTCATATAGCTATCATGAATAGTAAATCAAGAGTACCTTGATCAAGTAATGATGTCTGATGTATACATGGAAATGAAAGAGTATAGGCATTTGTACCATGTTTTTTTGTACTCGACTCATCTTATTTTAGTTCCGCTTGTAACAAATAGTACTCTGCAGCCTATGACCAGGAATAGTTTATTTGTGATTAGAAAGCAAAAAGAAGCCAACTGATCCATATGAATAATTGAATTACAATGCTACTTTGCGTCCCACCCCTTTCCCTTCATGAGCACTGTAGTCTTACCTATTCTGCTATGGTGAGAGGCTCTAAAATAAATAGGTATTCCTATTTAACAGCAGGTTTGTAAGGCAGAATAACCCTAATGGCATTTTATGTTCATTGTACCAAAACTGCGACTGAAAAACTGCATGACATCACTATGTTCAAAACTGTGACTAAAAAACTATACAGTGTGAATATTAATAATCTCATATTAAAGATTAGAAAATAAATTTTGTTGTCTCGTATCTTTGGTAAAATATAGCTATACTCCTTTAGTTTACTAAGTAAATAAACATGTAGTCTTAAAACACTTTTTTTGATTTTCATCAGGACTTTGTATGAAGAAAAAGTGTCCTTCTGGTGGTGCTCTATTTAGGCAGCACATAAAATATGGAAAGTATATAATTGTGTTATGTTAGAACACTTAATCTATTAACTTTGATATTATAATTTATTTCCCTATACAGCAATAAATATGATTTTTTTAGCTTTTTAGTCCCATTTTCATGTGCATTTTCTTGAAAAAGGAGTTATATATTCAGTTAGATATTATTTTTGAAAGAGTTGCATATATTTGTTATCTCCAATTTCTGAGGTTGTTTCTCAGTCTTCATCTTGCTTGACCCATCAGAGTATTTCGATATGGATGATTTATTTCCTCTTTGAAGCAACTTTAATATTTGGCTTCTAGGACACTGTTCCTTTCTTCCCCCTTCATTTCCTCCTGTCTTTCCGGCTACTTCTTCCCAGTCTCATGTTCCCAGCTTTTAAATGCTGGAATACTCTAGGACTCAGTTTTTGGATCTCTTTTCTTTTCTATCTTCACATACTCCCTAGATTATTTCTTCCAGATAATGACTTTACTATCTATATGCTGATGGCTCCTGAATATTTATCCCTAGCCCAGGTATCTCCTCTGAACTCCAGATTCACACATTCAGTTGCCCAATGTTCTCATTGGATGTCTGGCAGACATCTTATGCTTAACATGTTTAAAACTGAGTCCTGATATCCTTCCCCAGCCCCAGCTAAACTAACTTCTATTGTGTTTGTCAGATAACAGATAGCTCCATTCTTTCAGTTACCCAGGCCAAAATCCTCTGTAATTTCTTGACTGCTATTTCATACATACCCTATGAGGCCTATTATCTTTCTAATTTCATCTTCTATTACTCTCCTCTCATTCTCTCAGCCAGCTTCTTGTGTTTTGTTAACACTTCTGATGTGGTCCTGCTTCAAAGCCTTTGCATTTGAAGTTCACTCTGCCTGTAAATGTTCTTCCTCCAGATATCCTCATGGCTAGCTGCCTCACTTCCTTTGAGTCTTTATTTAGAAGTCACCGTCTATCTAAACTGTCAACTGCTACCAAACCCCTGACATTTCATTCTTTTAACCTTTCTTTTTCTCTTTCACACTTCTCACTATCTAAACTACGTATTTATTTTGTTTACTATCTGCTGAATGTTAGCTCATGACAGCAG